ATACGGTTTGATTTTCTGTCCATTCTGATATTATGTCTTTATCATTTAATGGGACTTATTCCTTGGTTTAATCCTTTTAATTTTTCCCTCCTGTTTTAGGTTTCTTCTTGTCTCCTATTGTATTTTGGGTTGATTTTTTAAAATCAGTCCATTTTTGTGCTCTGTTTCTTTGGAAGTTAATGAGTTGGGTTTTTTTGTTTGTTTTTTTTAGTGTTTTATTCTAGTGATTGCAGCAAACAGTTGCCTTATTAAAGTCTAATATTGTTTAGTTCCTTTACTGTCTTCTTGAACAATGCTATATTGTTGGCGTATATTTTACTATTACTCCTGACTTATGTTGCTATTGTTGCTATGTATGTTTTATACCATCAGTGTCCATTTACCCAAATATTTTCTCTTGCATTGTCTTTGATTCTGCCCTGCATTTCTGAGCTTATGTCTGGGATCATTTTGGTTTCTCTAATGAATAACCAAATTATGAAATAATGAAATAACCATTTCATATTCCCTTAGTGTAGGTCTGCTGGTGATTCATTCTTAGTTACTCTCTGGTGATATGTATGAAGTCATTGTTTTTTTAAAACATTTTTATTTATTTATTTTTAGAGAAGGGAGGCAAAGGGAGAGAAACATCAATGTGTGGTTGCCTCTTGCACGCCCCCAACTGGAGACCAGGCCTGCAACCCATGCATGTGCCCTGACTGGGAATCGAACCAGTGACCATTTGGTTCACAGGCCAGTGCTTAGTTCACTGAGCCACACCAGCCAGGGTGTATTAAGTCATTCTTGAATCTGTGGCTTGATGTCTTTCCTCAGTTTTGGAATATTTTTGGCCTTAACTTTTTCAAATTTTGTTTCTGCAGTTCTTTCTCTTCTTCCAGTTACGTGTATATTAAACACATTCTCTTTTATTTCTGCCTCATGTCCTTTCCTCAATGTTTTCTAGCCATTTTCCTTTGCATGCTTCACTGTGAATATATGTGTAAATATATGTACACACTTAATCTCCCAGTTTAGCGAGTCTATTCAGTTTTTTCTAATATGCTGTTAAAATTACCTGTTGAATTCTCAATACTGATTTTTATAGTTTTTATTTCTGGAATTTTCTAACAGTTCATTTTTATAGTCTCCAGTTCTTCTTTGAAGTTCTCCATTTTGTCTTTTATTCTTTGAGCAGAGCAGCATGCATGTCTGGTACTTCTAATAGCTGGAGTCCATGTGTGTCTCTTTCTACTGTCGTGGTTTTTCTTCATTCAAGTCATCTTGTTTTGTACTTGGATTTGTTTTGCTTGTGTATCAGAAACTATTTGAGAAATTATTTGAGAAATAATTTGAGGCCTAGAATGTTATTTTCTTCCAGGGAGAATTTTAGGTTTGCTCTGGCCAGAGGATACATTGGCAAGCTAGGATCATATTAATCCATTTTTGGTGGCTGAGCTCATTGAAGCAAAGCTGCAGTTCCTGGTAAGGCCTGACAACTTTTGGCTCACTCAGTTTTAAGATACAGCATTTTGGTTACTAACCCAAAGTTCGTCATGGTTACTGTCTCCAGGGCCCTGGAGATTGGTTAAAAGTGCCCCTTGGACAACCTTCCAAAATTGTTGCTTGCTCTCCCCTGCCCTTTCCTAGGCAAAAAAGACCTAAATGTCTTTGTCTTCCCCTTGGTCCAACAATTCTCCTTGGTCTTGTTACTCTGCCTTCACGCAGATGTTTTCAATATTCTGTCCAGCTTTTTCTACTTGACCTCAGCGTTAGCTTGGCCCCTGTAATATAGTCCAGCATCATTTGATGCGTAAGTCTCACCCTTTCATTCTGTGTCTGAAAAACACATATATTTATAATTTTGTCTATCTTATGAGTGGAAATATTTCACTATTATAATGTACATTTCTTTGGTTACTATAAGGTTGAGCAACTTTTCATCTATTTATTGGCTATTTCAATTTATTTGGTCCATATCTCTCTTGGGTACTTTTCTTTTTCCGTATTGATTTAACACATTATTCTTCATATTGATCATCTCTTATATGTCATAATAATTTCCATTTCAGTAACTGTCATATGAAATATTTTTTATGTATTCAAATCTTTTAGTCTTTTATGGCTTCTGGGACTTATGTCTTGCAGATTAGGACATAATAAATATTTTATACCTGTTTTTTGTATTTATCTCTTCATAATTATAAGGGCTGCATTTTTAATGTACTGTGTGAAATATCTGATTTCTTAGCTAAATGAACAATATAAAGAGAAGAGCTCCTTTTTCTTCTACTTGTAAAGGTTTTTTTCCACTCCCAAAGAAGAGCAGTCAGAGCTTTGGCTGGGTAGCTCAGTTGGTTAGAATGTCATCCTGCTATGCCAAGGTTGTGAGTTTGATCCCCAGTCAGGGCACATAAAAGAACCAACCAATGTACAGGTGGAACAGAAGATCGATGTTTCTCTCTCTCTCTCTCTCTCTCTCTCTCTCTCTCTCATTTTCTGTCTCTAAATAAAAATAAAAAATAAATAAGGTGCAGAGACAAAAAAATATGGCTCAAATGAAAGAACACATCCAAGCTCCAAAAATAGAACTAAGTAATGAAGAAATAGCTAACTTACCAGATGCACAGTTCAAAACACTGGTAATCAGGATGCTCACTGAAATGGCTGAGTATTGTCGCAAAATGGAGGAAAAAAGGCTATGCAAAGTAAAATAAAAATATACAGGGAACCAACAGTAAAGGGAGGAAACTGGAATGCAAATAAACGATTTAGAATAGAAGGAAGAGATAAACATAGAACCAGAACAGAATGAAAAAAAACAAGAATTCAAAAAAAAGAAGAGAGGCTTAGAAACCTCTGAGACAACTTTAAACATTCCAACATCCGAATCATAGGGGTGCCAGAAGGAGGAGAGGAAGAACAAGAGCAAGAAATTGAAAACTAATTTCAAAATATAATGAAGGAGAACTTCCCCAATCTGGCAAAGGAAATAGACTTCCAGGAGATCCAGGCAGTTCAGAGTCCCAAAGAAGTTGGACCCAAGGAAACACACACCAAGACACATCATAATTGCGTTACCCAAGACTAAAGATAGGAGAGGATCTTAAAATCAGCAAAAGAAAGGAGACAGTTACCTACAAAGGCGTTCCCATAAGACTATCAGCTGATTTCTCAAAAGAAACCTTGCAGGACAGAAGGGGCCAGAAAGAAGTATTCAAAGTCACGAAAGGCAAGGACCTACATCCAAGATTACTTTATCCAGCAAAGCTATCATTTAGACTGTGAGGGCAGATAAAGAACTTCCCAGATAAGGTCAAGTTAAAGGAGTTCATCATCACCAAGCTCTTATATGAAATGTTAAAGGGACTATGAACAGTAAAATGACAACAAACTCACAACTAGCAACAACTGAACCCCCCCCCCAAAAAAAAACCCAAAAACTAAGCAAACAACTAGAACAGGAACAGAATCATAGAAATGGAGATCAGAGGTGGAGAGGGGGCAAATGTGGGGAAAGGTACAGGGAGTAAGAAGCATAAATAATAGGTACAAAATAGACAGGGAGGTTAAGAATAGTATAGGAAATGGAGAAGCCAAAGAACTTAAATGTACAGCCCATGCATATGAAGTAGGGGGGTGGGGGGAGGAAGGCTGGTGGTGGGGAGGGCAGGGTAGAGGGGAATGAAGGGGAGAAAAAAATGGCACCAAAAAAAAAAAAGCAGTCAGTAGGCCTGAGATAACTTACACTTGGGCTTCTTTCCCCTCCTTCCTGTACAGTTCTGTCTTTGGGAAAAGTAAAGCTTGGATGTTTTCTCAGGGTGGGTCCTCCTGGCTGAGTGACACAGGGGGAATGACTAAAAGGGAGAGAGGTTATGAATCTGTCATCACACAAATGTTGGGACCAGTGATAAAGTCTAAGGCACTTTCTTTTTTGTAACTAGTTTATTTTTATTAAAAGCTATTCAATAAAAAAAAAAAAAATGAAATATTGGAAACTTCAAAGAGGAAAGGGGAAAGAATGCCCTGGATTCCATACGGAGGGGACCATCTATTAGGATCTCTCTGTCTGTAACACACATGTGAGCACACATACAGCTTTATGCGTAAGATCCTGCAAATTATGCTGTATGTTGCTTGAGTTGGCAGCCCTGGTGGAAGCCATTCCAGGCCAGCAGGTACAGATCTACACATGCTTGTAGCCCATGGGTAAGAGTACAAACTTCTTAGCCAAGACCCTGCGTTTGAGTCCAGCCCTGTTACCGCGTAAGAATGCAGATGGGATAGGTGGTTCTGTGTCTCAGATTCCTCATCCATAAGTTAGGATACTAGCAATGCCTGCCTGTGAGGTCTTGTGGGGATGAAGTGACTGAACAGAGAGCTTGGTGACTCTGCTGTCTGTAGCATCATTCCAGGTGGCTGCATGACATTCTGGGGTGTGTTGCAACATGAGGTATGTCCTGTTGCTCTAAACCAGGGGTCCTCAACCCATTGGGCTGCCTGTTAGGAACTGGGCTGCACAGCAGGTGGTAAGCAGCAGGCAGCTCTAAGCATCACTGGTCTTACTGCCTGTGCCCTGCCTTCTGTCTCCTCCTCCACTCCTGTCCCTCGCCCCATCCATGGGAAAATTGTCTTCCACAAAATCGATCCCTGGTGCAAAAAAGGTTGGAGGCTGCTCTAAGCAGACTTTGGTGGTTGTCTGTGCGCCACCATCTTGAGGTTTATAGTGATGGTTTCTCAACCTTGTCAGTATGGCCAGCACAGCAGTAGCTGGGGTAACTTCCTGCTTTTTCTGTTGAGGGAGACTGCGGTTGCCTTGCTGAAGATAAATCCTGGGGTCTGGAATCAGGGTCCACACACTGCTTGCAGTGAGAAGCCAGCGGGCAGGCTGGCCTCTAAGGAACCTTTTGGATTTAGAGCTTTCCCACCCCCAGGTTCTGTGAGTGGTTCCCAGACCTCGCTGGGAGGAAGTGTACATGTGGTGGCATGGTGCCTAGGGCTGACCTCTCCTTCCCCTGCAGGTTCAGCAGTACCGGGTTGCCATGACTGCAAAGGACTGCTCCATCATGATCGCACTCTCCCCTTGTCTTCAGGACGAAAGGTGAGGTGCCCACTTCCCGCGTTGCATGTCTGGTCTAACAGGATTTTGTGGATTGACAAGAGTTGGTTTCCCCATATTTAGAGAGCCCATGCAGGATCACATTTATCCAGAGGCTGATCTCCAAGGCCTGCTTGGTATCATACCACTTACTAATTCTTGTTCTTTACAAGGTTGTAATTCAGTTAAAAAGATATTTATGGAGAATAATTTTAAAAGAGTGTTCTATTAAATAAAGATTATCATTTTCTAAGAAAATACCTTAAGGACTTAGAAGCTATTTGGATAGTGTGGTGCAAGTTCCTTTCTTTCAAAGAAAGCCCCAAGCTCCTGTCAAGGCTCTGAGGCCTGAGAAGGTGTAGGTTCCCATGGGCCTGTTCCTCTTCCTCTACCAGGTCCCGAAGTGCCCTGAAATGCCACATTCAGAGTCATTTTGAAGCCTTTAAAACAACACGTGCATTATTCTGCCTGTTTGCAGACTCTCTCCTTAGACACCATGTTGTCATCCATCATTTTTTAGGAATTCAGGATGAACCTGATAATCTCTTAGTAAATAGATGGCATCTTCAGCATTTGTCTTCAGGGTGCAAAATGCTACACACAGTATTTGTGGAATGTTCTGCATTTTTCTGACAAATGTTATTGGGTCAATGTGAGCTTGTCATTGGCTGCCAGCTGCCCATTTTTTCATAGGAAACACGGAGGGCCATTTATAGGGTATAAATTAAATTTAAAAAAGTCTATTTAGGTGAAAACTCCTGTTATCCACTCCCCCCACCAAATGCCCCTGGTGCTTAATTATGAGGAATCCATTTGCTGGATTAAGCTAGTGATGTTGGATGAGAGAAAACCACACAGATGTTATGATCTACTGCCTTGCCTGAAGCAAGGATGCAGTTGGGATACAGAAATGTGAGGGGCTGAGGGCCCAGGGCCCCAGTACCCTAAAAAAAAAAACCCCGACACATTAAAATAGAAGCCAGGATGGGAGTTCAGGAAGTTCTGAAACACATGGGCACCAGTCTCAGCCCCAGGGGTGGTACAGTGTTTAGGTGTCAGGGGCCATATACTGGGCTCATGAGGAGCTTCTGGTTGAAAGACAGACTTTTCGTAGGGATGGCCCTCTGGCCATGCTTCCATCAGGTGTTTGTGATGGATTCACTTTATCTTGTTGGGTGCTGGTTCTGAAGTGAGAAACTGAGGTATCCTCTAAAATGTGTAGCCCTGTTGAGGGCTGGAGACGTGGACTGTCCCAAGCTCAGCTCAGGCCCTGAGGGGAGACTTTGATGCAAGACCTTAATTTGCAAATCTGTTCCTCTGCTCTTCAGAAGGGAGTCACTAGGAACCCAGCTGCTGACCCATGGTTTGTTTTTCTTGTTGGCTGTATTTCAGAGCAGGAATGAAGTGAGAGTCTAAGCCTTGATTAGAGTCATCAGTACAGGAACAAGGTTGTTTGGCCTTCCTTCTCCCAGGCAGAAACTTTTGAAATTGGTGTTTTGTTTGTTTGACTTGTTTTTGTTTTGTTTTGTTTTTTAGTGATTTCTAAATAGTAGTTAAGCATGGGGAAGTGAGGACTCTTGACTACTTCCCTTCAGCTGCACTGAGCTCATCCAATGCATGTGACCAGTCACCTGGACCCAGACTGTGCACTGAGCATGCTGACAGGTTTAGAATTCAGAATTAGTCTCAGTGTTTTTAAGCACAAGTAAATGTTCACATATTTGTTACAAACATATGATTCTTCTGCTATTTAGAAGAACCACACAACTAAGCCCCAAGAAACAAAATACAAAACACTGCAGATACAGTTTGAGAATAAAACATGAAACTAGACACGGGGGAGGTGTGTATGAAAAGTCTGTTCTCGACATTTTATACATTTGGTTGTTGAATGGCCAGATCAACTTTCTACTTTTTCTTAGGTTTTGTAATACTTGGCCCATAATGCAGTATCTTTTTCAGCATTTACTTTTAACACTGGGATATGCGGAATGTCACAAGTATCCAAGATAATTGGTTTTTCATCTTTCTGTACTTTAATCCTCTCTTACCTGGTGTTTCAGAGCAGGCACCAGTCTGGTAGAAGCTTTAAACGCTGGTGCTCACAGCTGACAGATGGAGATTGGATGTATGTAGATGTACAGAATGGGCTACTTGTGAGCTAGGATCAGAGGAATTGGGAAGGCTGAAATTTTTTTTTTTTACTTTCAGCTCTGATCAAAGGCCCATCGTCCCTTCATCAAGATCCCGGTTTGCCTTCTCCGTGTCTGTATTGGATCTCGACCTTAAACCCTACGAGAGTATCCCTCATCAGTACAAACTGGATGGCAAGATAGTCAGCTACTACTCAAAGACTGTACATGCCAAAGACACCACCATGATGTCACCTAGGTTCAAGGAAAGTGAAGATTGTACCTTAGTTCTCCATAAAGTCTAACTTTTTTCCTGTGATGTCATTGAAACTTGAACATAGAATGTGAAGGTTGAACGATAGAGCTCTTTCCTCTTGTGTTGGGTGACTTTGGCTGTGAATGTTTTTGCTTTTTAACCATTGTTCAGGCGGGACTGCGTCTGCGAGACACAAAATGGAAGAAACACCTTCCAGGACAAGGAAGGTGAGATGTGAGACCTGTAGCATCTGTGTCCCAGAAAGCCCCTCTGGACAGTTTTTCCTTTCCACCGAAGGGTCATGTCTAATCTCTAATGCAAAAGGCCTTATTTTGAAACCCGAGATTTGGATCTTCTACAAGACTCCTAACATAGAAAACTTGAATTGTCATATATATCTTACAATTTGGACTTTTAAGAAACTTAAGAAAACAGGGATACTACTGGAACTTTCCCACCTGAGTTTCTTGGTCACTTTTTAATGCAAGCCACACGTCATCACAGGCTTGGGGATTCCCTGCTGCAAAGTGATGTGTTCTTGGTATAGATGTCAGTTCTGAGCACTGGGGACTCAGGGTCCCTGTGGAGGTGCTGCCTCCACCATTCTGTGCAGGAGCAACGAGGACCGTGGGACTCAGGTCATGGGCAAACACCACTCATGTGAGCGTTGACTTTCATTTTTTTTTTCTTTCTGAGTGATTTTGTCTTTAGCTTTAGGGGAGACAAGGAATTCTTTCTCACCTGAAGTTGCTGCTGTGGAAGCTGGAAGCAGATCTGTAACATGGAGCTGCTGAGCTTGGGGCAGCTCTGTGTTCATGGCAATTGTGGGTGTTTGGGGAACCTCAGCCAATTCTGCCAGAGCCAGTGATGTCTTGAGTTCTCATCCTCTCTGTACTTGTTTTTCCTCTGGTTTCACTGAGATATGTGCTGTTTGCAGCCTCAAGTGGTGTGCTGGGCCACCTCCCTGTCAGGACTCCTGACAAGATGGGCGACTCCTGGCTGGCACCAAGAGGGTTTGTGTTAGGTTCACCAAAAGTGTGCCTGGCTGCTATGAAACTGTTGGGAATCTTGGCTTCAGTTTTTTATTCTATGGTAGGTTATACACATTATTTATATCATTTTGGGGATTAATGAAGGCTTATTGTAATATAATAATATTAGTGAAGCCATGTAATTATATGAAAATACTACATGAAAATAAGAAGAATATTTTGATTGTAAATTTTTGTGGGAGACCTTTTCTGATCACTTGAGAATTACACTCATTTGAATTAAGAAAGTTTTTCTAGAATTTATTCTTTAATTCTTTCCTAACATTTACTTCTTACTTCTAAACTCAAATTGTTAAAAAGATACTCAAATGACATGTCTCATGTCTATGTCAGTGTGTTGGGGTACAGAGGCTTTGGAGACTCCACCTCTGGGTACTTGAGTGGAGCTGTGTTCTCATGCAAATCACAGAGTATGGGGAGGGAAGCAGCTGTCAGTGTTGTTTTGGCTGGAGGTTTTTTCTTGTCGCTGGCGTGGGACAGGGGAGGGATTGGCTGGAATGTGATCATGGCACACAATCTTGCCTGGCATCACCATCTTCATAGGACCCTGGGTCCCTGTGCATGGAGCTTGGGAACCCCAGCCTCTTGAGAAGGTGAGCTGGGCAGCCTCCTGGTGGTCTGCACTGGCTGGACTGAGCAGTCTGAAACTTGGGGGAAGAGGATACAGATGAACAGCCCCTGCTAGAAGGTCTTGTTCCAACCCTTTGCTCTCTTGACGCCACCATAGCCTCTTCTTACCTGACTGTGGCATTCATTTGATTGAAACACTCTTCTCACTAGTTCTAACATTGTAAATGGGTGACTGGGGTCAGTGCAGCACTTAGACTCTGGAGGACTTAAATGAAAACCCAGTTTCTTCTGTGTGGAGGAACAGGTACTGATGTTCCATGTGAAGGGACAATGCAGTCTTTGCTGTCTCACTGCATTTTTTTAAGCTCCACGGTTCCACTTTCTTGTGGATGACCAAAAAGAGTGAGTATCAGAGGACTTGCTGAGAGGTGCTGTAGATGCCTCCAAGTGCTGCTTTCCAGAGCAGGGAGGCGAGGAGGGTGGTGCACCTCCCCCAGGGTATCTGGGGAGTGTCTAAACAATGAGGCTTCAAGAGCCTCAGAGGGTGGGTGGCTGCCTCTGCCCTCAGGCTGGGTGTGGGAGGGGTACACAGCTGCTCCCCGCAGATCAGTGTTTGGCATTTTGTATTTAAATAGCTGTATTTATTTTTTCATGTCCTGACAGTTTATATATAATGTGTCATAACTGCACAGACAAGGTCTAAGGGTACGGTTTCTAAGTGGAAAACAACAAATGTTTATATTCAATAAAATCACATGCTTCCTGGTGCAGCATCTGACTCCTAGGTGTTACTGTTTGCGAACTAGTGGTTTTCCTCTGTGCAGAGTGTTCTTATTAGGCTTTCTAAAGCCACTTCAATGCCTAGTGCGCCCAGCAGGGTTCGGAAGCTGAGAGGAGCAGTTTCTATTACTCCCTTCTGGTCCAACTCCAGGGCTGTAAAGAAAAAAAACTGGGTAAGAAACTTCATCTAGACCCTTTCTGCCTCACCAAGTGGCCAGCCTGTGTCATGGCTGTGAATGCAGCTCACTGCATGCCGGAGGCAGAGAGAGAACATCCCCCTTGTGCACTCAGCCCAGGAGAGCCTTGGGGGAGCAATCACCCTGTTTGTGCCTTTTTAGTGATTATTGATAAAAGTATTTTAAAAACTGATGTAAAGAGTACAATAATGAGATTTCCAATTTTTGATTGTCATGTAAAACTAGATGAAATAAGTAGGTGCATATTAAGAAGTCACCAGAATACCCTCATGGGACCCTTCCATACCTTGCTGTGGCACTTTAGTGAGAAGATCCAGCTTCGGCAAAACCTTCCCTTCTTCATCTATTTGTATCCTCCAAATGATGACTAATTCAAAGCTGAAAAAGGTAAGATTCATCACTAAGTGCCTGTAAAACCTGGTTAAAAGAGTGAATTCTACCCCTTGCCTGGTGGTTCCGTTGGTTGGAGCATTGTCCTGATGCACCAAGGTTGAGGGTTCAATCCCTGGTCAGAGCACATACAGGAATCAACCAATGGGATACTGGCTGTGTCTGTGGGTGTACAGGTGAGACAGTCACTGTGGCTGTTCTGGCATAGGGCTTGTGGCCGGCCCCTCTGTTCAGGCCAGTCTGGTTGGAGCAGACCCTGAGGACCAGCTTGGCAAGATGGCGTAGGGACTGTGAGGCTCTTCCCCTGAGAAGGGGGGTTGCAGGGCTGTCAAGTTATGTATAAGCTGGTGGTGCCACTGTCTTCGCAGACCTGGGGGCTGTGGTTTCGCCCAGGAAGTTTCCAGGAGATGGTTCCATGTGCAAGGACAAGAGTTCTTAAGGCCATGTGGATGAATAGAAGTTGATTGACATCCTTTTTCCCCCCTCCCGTTCCTGGCTTTAAGCCCACATCTTTGATTACAGTGTGACAGACACCTTTCTGTGTTCTGGCCCCATTCATGTACCTCCAAGATGGTGACCTAGGTAAACACGGCTCCCCCCTCACACAACCACATCAAAATTACAACTAAACTATAGAACAACCATCACTCAGAACCAGCAGAAATTGAGGGAATGGAGGTCTTGCAACGATGGAATTAAAGAAACCATGTCCATCCATCCAGTCTGATAGGAGGGGTAGGGATGCTGAGATGTGGAACAGGCTGGTCCCACACCCACGTGTGGCAGATAAAAAGCAGGAGGAAGATCCCTGGAGCTTGTGGTCCCAGCCCCACACTAGACACCCCCTAGTCCAGGGTTCCAGTGCTGGAAAGGTAAGTCCCTGTGGCTTCTGGCTGTAAAAACCAGTGGAGATTGCCTCGGCAGAAGAAACTGCTGGATTCCTAGCCAGTCCCTCTTAAAGGGTCCGCACATGGATTTAGTGAGACTCATTCCCACTGAATGCAGCACCAGGGCAGCAGCTTGAAAGGTACCAGTGGCATATGGGTAGAAATTGAAGTGACTGGCATCAGGGCGAGAGCTGGGGGCAGCTTTCTCCAAGAAGAAACTGCAGAGTCCACGGTTCGTCTTCTGCGCCTGCCCCGCACAGAGCCACAGAGCACAGCACCGTATATAAGACTCCATCAACCTGGAGTCTCCACTGTTTACCCGGCCCTGGTGATTCTCTGCCCCACCAAACTTACAGGGCCACCCAAATGGTTAACGATGGCTTTTCCATAAAAATGACTTGTCTTGCACATGCATCTGATATTTCTAAGTCCTCAAACAGCAGCTGACCTCAGTGAGCCCCCATACCTTGCTAAGTGGCCTCAGGCCTGGCACTAGCAGCAGCTAGCCTTAGTTCACAGTCTGCCCTCACTAGGGCACAAGAAGCAGCCAAATGCAGATTGCTTTATAGCTTATGCCAAGTGGCCCCAGACAGAACACAAGCATACCCCAGAGCCCTGCTGAAGTAAGTCTTGAAGCCCTGCTCTGTGGAGTGGGCTGTTGCACAGCTGATACTTCACGGAGAGTAGAGGTTGGTGGTTAGTGGTCATAGCCAGCCCTTGCAGCTGACTGGCCTGGGTAAAAATCCCTTCCATTGACCTGCCAACAGCAATCAAGGCTCAACTACAAGAGGAGGGTGTGCTCAAACTACATGGTGTGCACACCTCAAGTACTCAGCTTGGGTAATAGGAGAGGCTGTGCCACTGGGGCCCACAGGGCACCTACTGCATTAGGCCATGCTACCAAGATATGGAGTCATAGCAGCTCTTTGTAATACACTGAAACAAAAACAGAGATGCTCTCAAAATGAGGAGACAAACATGGCCCAAATGAAAGAATAGAATAAAACTGAAAAAGAACTAAACAAAATGGAAACAAGCAATCTACTAGATGCAGAGTTCAAAACACTTGTTATAAGGATGCTCAAGGAAATAAAAAAGATCTAGTCAGAAACTAAGGGTACATTACTTAAAGAACAATTGACCGGAAATCAACAGTAGAGTGGATGAAGCCGAGAATCAAATCAATGTTTTGGAACATAAAGAAGTGAAAAACAACTAATCAGAACAGCAAGGAAAAGAATTAAAAAAAAAGTTGAAGACAGTATAAGGACTCTGGACAACATCAAGTGTACCAACATTCACCTCATTGGGGTGGCAGGAGCAGAGAAAGAGCAAGAAATTAGAAGTCTATTTGAAAAAACAGTGACAGAAAACTTCCTTATCTTGGGGAAGGAAACAGACATAAAAGTCCAGGAGGCACAGAGTCCCAGTCAAGATGGATGCACAGAGACCAACACCAAGACACATCAAAATAAGGCCAAATGTTAAACACAGAAAATCTCAAAAGCAGCAATAGAAAAGCAGGTAGTACTCTACAAGGGAGTTCCCATAAGACTGTCAGCTGATTTCTCAAAAGAAACTTTGCAGGCTAGAAGGGATTAGCAAGAAATATTCAAAGGGATAAAAAGCAAGGACCTACACCCAAGATTACTATACCCAGTAAAGCTATCATTTAGAATCCAAGGGAGGATAAAGAGCTTCCTAAACAGGAAGAAGCTTTTAAAGGAGTTCATCGTCACCAAACCATTATATATGAAATATTAAAGGGCCTTATTTAAGAAAAAGAGATCAAAACTATGAACAATAAAATGGCAATAAATACATATCTATCAACAATTGAATCTAAAAACCAAACAAGCAAAACAGAAACAGAATCCTAGATACAGAGAATGGGCGATGGCAGCCAGATGGGTTGAGGAATTGGAGGAACAGGTGAAAAGCTGAATGGATTAAAAAGCACAAATTGGTACTACAGAATAGTCATGGTGATGTAGAGTACAATATAGGAAATGGAGAAGCCAAAGAAATTACGTGCATGACCCATGGACCTGAACAAAGCTGTGGGGATTGCCTGAGGGAGCGGGGTGGTGCTGGGTGGAGGAGGGCAAAGGGGGAAAAACTGGGACAACTGTAATAGCACAATCAACAAAATATAATTTTAAAAGAGAATCAACCAGCGGATGCTTAAGTAAGTGGCACAGATCTCTCTCAGGAAAAAAGCAAACGAACGAACAAACAAAAAGCTCTATGCTCTATGCAGTGGGAAGAGGGACACCCACTCAGGCAGGAACTCTGTTCTCCTTTGACCATCCTGGGGCTGTGCTCCGTTGACCCTGTTCCTAAAGACTTCCATCCACAGATGAAGAGTATATATGTTGGTTAGTCATGAATACATGTTCATCATCATGAACAAACAGGAAAATGGAAACAAAGACAATATTAGGGTGACAGTATAAATGAAGTACATGATAGTAACAGGAACTTAAAATTTCCTATGAGAAATACAAATTGATAAACTACTTTGCATAGAATTTGGCAGTAGCAGAAAGCTGAACCTACTCTGTAACTAGGAAGTGCATTTCTAGATATATGTCCAAGAGAAGCTTGTTGATGAATAACCCAAATGCTCAACACCTGAAGAATACAGAAAAATATATATATGCCTAGTAGAGTATTATTACTGAAAATGAATGGTCTATAGCTACATGTGTCACCAGAGGTGAATCTGGAAAATATTTTACTACTAAAAGGCAAGTCCCAGAAGCCTACATAATTATGACACCAGTTTAAGACTTGAAAACAAAATCAAACATCTCTAAGCACTACTATGCAAGTTATCAAAGTACATTTATGTGCACACTCACAAGTGTCCATAACAGCAGAGAAGAGACCCCCATCCCTCCATCCCTCCCTCCCTCTGTCAGCACTTGCTGCCTCCTGAACTTTCTAGAATAAGTTGAACAAAATAACTCCACCACTTCTAGGCCTCCCCTCCTTGGTGCCCTAAGGGCCCCTGCAGTGAAACCAGCACCTGCTGAACTTTTGCTCATCCAGCTGTGGTTTACCATCCCCACACTGCACTCCTCCTTCACCCAGCAAGGCCTTCTTCCTATTTTCCTACCATCAGCTACCTATCTGTTATGAATTCACAGACATTTCTCGACATGTCAGATAGTTTACATTTGTCCTCTACTAATTATAATCCTTGTTTTTAACAGGAAACCACCATGTGATTGCTGGGGAGGGACTTGGCCAGCAAGGAAGGTACAGGGTGCCATGGGGCACTTGCACTCACCCTGGCTGGCTGGTGCTCTGGATCCCCATGTAGCTGGAGGAAGCCCCCTCCAAGAGGTGCACAGACTCTGGGTACTTTTCCTGTGAGAAGAAGAAAACTTACTAGTTTTAAAGTCATTCTTTATTTTTCAATTACAGTTGGCAACAATATAATATTAGTTTCAGGTGTACACCCCAGTGATTAGACATAATATAACTTACTAAGTGATCACCCAAAAAATCTCACACCCATCTGACACTGTACATAGTTATTAGGATATTATTGACTGTATTCTCTATGCTGTAGTTTATATCCCCATAATTATTTTTTAAAAACCAATCTGTAATTCTTAATCCCTTTACCTTTGCACTCCCAATTCCCCTTCCATTTGGCAATTGTCAAAATTTTCTCTGTTTCTATAAGTCTGTTTCTGTTCTGCCTGTTTGGTTTTTAGATTCAGTTGTTGATATGTATTTATTGCCATTTTATTAAGATTTTTTTTTTTTGTCTTTTTAAAGACCTTTAACAGTTCATATGATGCTGGTTTGGTAGTGATGAACTCCTTTAGCTTTTTCTTCTCTGGGAAGCTCTTTATATGTCCTTCAATTCTAAATGATAGCTTTGCTGGTGAGAGTAATCTTGGGTGTCGGTCCTTGCTTTTCATCACTTTGAATATTTCTTGTCAACCCCTTCTAGCCTGCAAAGTTTCTTTGGAGAAATCAGTTGACAGTATTAGGGAGTCTCCCTGGTAGGAAACTAACTGCTTTTCTCTTGTTTAAGAGCTCTGCACTTCTTGGACTTGTATGTCTATTTCCTTCACCAAGGTAGGGAAGTTTTCTGTCATTTTTTCAAATAGCTTTTCAATTTCTTGCTCTCTCTCTCCTTCTAGCTCCCCAATGATGCAAATGTCGGTACACATGAAGTTGTCCCAGAGGCTCCTTACACTATCCTCATTTTTTAAAAATTCTTTTTTCTTCTAGCTGTTCTGATTGGATGTTTTTTTGCTTTCTTATATTCCAAATCACCAATTTGATTCTCCTCTCATCATCATCCAATCTGTTGATTTCCTATAAATTGTTCTTTATTTCAATCAGTTTACCATTCATTTCTGACTGGATCTTTTTTATTTTGTTGAGGTCCTCACAAATTTCCTTGAGCATCCTTATAACAAGTGTTTTGAACTCTGCATCTAGTAGATTGCTTATCTCCATTTTGTTTAGTTCTTTTTCTGGAGTTTTATTCTCTTCTTTCATTTGGGCCACGTTTCTTTGTCTCCTCATTTTCACAGTCTCTCTGTTTTTGTTTCTATGTATTAGGTAGAGTTGCTATGTCTCCCAGTTGTGGTAAAATGGCTTAATGTGGTAGGTGTCCTGTAGGGCCCAGTGGCACAGCCTTTCCTATCACCCAAGCCGTGTACTCAGGATGCTCCAACTGTGTGGGCTGTGTACACCCTCCTCTTGTAGTTGAGCCTTGATTGCTGTTGGAATGTCCAAGGTGAGCCATCACCTGTGTCCAGGGCCACCTGACGTAAGCTACAAAGCAACCTGCAGATGGCTGCTACTTGTATTGGACTTGGACATGCCCAGGTGAGTCTAAGCTGTGAACAAAGGCTGCCTGTTGCTAGGGCCAGACTCTGGGCCACTTAGTGAGAGGTACAAGGCTCACTGAGGACAGATGCTGCTTGTTTGAGAGATTTTAGTAAAGTCTTAAGTATGGATCAAGACAAGCCATTGGTAAGGAAAAGTGACTGGAACAACTTGGGTGGGCCTGAAAGTTGGGTCAGGCCTCAGTAAGTCACCAGGGTGAAGCAAACAGTGTGAGTAAGGTTCACGGAGACTCAGATATGGTGCCCACCTGTTGTCTCTGTAGGTGGAAGGCTCATCAAAGAACTATGGCCTCTGCCAGCACTTCTGCCTGGGAGAAAGTTCTCACACTGATGCCAGGCAATTCATTTCCTCCCTGTGTGCCTCTGGTGCCTTTCAAGTTACTGCCCCGGTATTGGAGCTCAGAGGGAGTGATTCCCAGTAAGTCTATGCATGGGCCCTTTAAGGGGAATACCTGGAATTCCCTCAGCCTCTATCCCCACTGGTTTTTACAGCCAGAAGTTATGGGGACTTCTCTTGCTGGCACTGGAACCTTGGGCTGGGGACCAGGTATGGGGCTGGGAACCCCTACTCCTCAGCGGGGGAACCTCTGCAGCCAAGGTATCCCTCCCAATTTTTATCCTACACACATGGGTGTGGGTCCAGCCTATTCCACATCTCCACCCCTCCTACGAGTCTTGATGTAGCTGCTTTAATTCCCTAGTTATAGGACTTTCATTCGGCCAGATGTTAGGCAGTTCTAAATGTTTTATAGTTTGGTTGCAATTTTGATACGGCTGTGGGAGAATGCAAAAATACCATGTTCACCTATGCCACCATCTTGATCAGAAGCCCCCTTATTATATTTTTTTCATAGAGCAATCTGTAGGGCACAGGCACACTGACCCAGAGGACTGGGGAGAAGCAAGCAACCCTTTCAATGTGTCTTTCACATTCCCTGAAAGTCTAAGTTTCTGATGTGCCAATCGCTTGTCCAACACAGGGCATCATCATGCCCTGGCCACAGCCACTCACACTCCTGCCTTCAGTGCTGTTCTAGATCTTTCCACTGCCACAAGGCCCCCAAACTGCCACACTGTCAACTCTCCAATGTTAACATGTTACAGAACAACTTCATTCTGATTTCACCAATTTGTCCGTGCAAGGTCCTGCATTTGGCTGTCGTGCCTCCTTAAGTCCCCTCAGATCTGAGGTAGCCTTTCTGTCTGCCCTTGAGGAGGCCAGTCAGGCATGCTGTGCAGTGTCCCTTAGGACAGAGAGTCCAGCTGACTTACCCAGGTGATTTTGACCCTGATAACTGAGGTGAGGTATAGTGTGCCAGCTTCCTCGCTGTAAGGCAACTATTAGCATTCAATTTTAAAAGCTAATGCATGTGGGCTGCCCCCTCCTCTACCTACAGTGGGTGCTCCTACCCTGTATGTCCTCACACTTGACACCACATCACCCTGGCCTGCCTGTTGATAACTGTGGGCAGATGGCTCCTACATAGTGCAGGGCCTCCCAGAGCCTACCATCGACCTGGTTGTCTCCCTCAACGGGCACAGTTCTGGCTATTCTGGGAAATGGGGTTCTGGGGAGCAGGCTCTGCAAAAAGTAAGCCTCATGGTAAGGCTGTGTCCCATTTAAGAGTTAAAAATATACTCTAAAACTGGGAAATGAAGTGGAATTTCACAAATTTCTAGGCTTGCAAACTCTTTAAGGTAGAGTTGGCTCCCCCCACCTAGCCAGGTAATGCAATAATTCTGGAAATGTCTATACTTCCTACTATTCACAGTAGACCCAGGGTGGGGCAAATGTAGGTTTACAGTTGTATAAGAAACACAGAGTTTACTCTTGTACTATTATTTATTATTGTATTGTTTTCTACATGAACAACTGTAAATCTACTTTGTCCCACCCTGTATATCAGACCTGACACCACATTTCTTTTTATTTTACTTTTTAAAAATATATTTTATTTTTTTATTTTTAGAGGGTGGGGAGGGAGATAAACATTGATGTGTGAGAGAAACATTGATTGACTGCCTCTCGCACACCCCCAACTGGGAACCTGGCCTGCCACGCAGGCATGTGCCCTGACCGGGAATGGAATTGTCAACCTTTTGGTTTGAGGAATAACGCCAAACCCACTGAGTCACATCAGTCAGGGCCTGACACCTTAATTTAGACTTGACTTGCAGGTCATTAGCACAACAAAGTTTTGCAGGGATCTGAACAGACTGTTTCCCATGGATAGAGTCACTTGTCTTTTTGCCTGCTCTTGAGAGAATGGATTGTGGGTTTGGGGGTGATATAAGAGAGACCATTAGAGTAGGCTTCACAGTGAGACTTCGAGTTCCTAGGATCAGCTTTTGAAAGACACATTTCTCTCTTCTTACAACTCTTGATGCAGAAATGGCCACCTGGGCTGATGCTAAAGTCAGATGTGAGTCCCACTATGTTCCAAACCCAAACCCAGCTACTGTGGCCACTCCAGTCTTCAAGGAAGGACAGTGAGGTACAATGTCATCTGAGAAACACTCAGTCTAGAAGTCAGAGAACCCTGAGACAAGGGGCAGGGCTAAACTGGGGGTGTGCAGAACCTGCGGGCTTCAGAGGATGGGCCTTCCTGAGGCTGCAGGTATTTGGTGGACTGAATCAGCTCTGTCAAATGAGGTCTAGTGGGGAGAAAGATGGGTCACCGCTTTTTAAGGACCAGCCCACATATCAGTGAACTTGTTCCCAGCATGTGAGACCAGTGCTCCCAGACCTCTGTGTGTGAAAGACGCTGACGGGCCAAGAACATACCCAAACATGAAGCTGTTCTGACCAAATTCTGGGTGCGCCTGGTTTAAGCTTATAGACAATTTCTAATTTCAGCAGAACAGTTTTTGTTGGAAAATTTATACCTAAGTGTTTTAAATGGAAAGTGCTGGTTGGCTTTTAAACCTCAAGCTCTTCTAAATGAGTAACAACTGTATGAAGAATGCAGAAGAGAATGTGTGGATGTGGCTGTGTCACCTTCAGGCTGAGCCACTGCAGCATGTGGCCTGGGCTGGCTCCAGCATGGGGCCTAGGGCAGCACAGGTTGGCTGCAGGCCCAGACCCCAAGCAGACCTCACAGCCTCTCCAGGCCTTACCCCCATGAGCAAAAGGAGGGTTTAGATTAGAAGCTTTCACTAAGAAATAAATCGTACTCTCCTTAGTTTTCTTTCCTTCTCTCTCTCTCTTTTTTTTTTTTTTTAAACACCAAAAGTAGAAATGCTGACATTAGGAAAAGGTCTGGCATTCAGTATGTGTTTCTAGAGAGCTTTTGCAGGGATTGTGTGGCCAGTTTCCCTTCACACAAGTGAATAATATTACCCTGTTTGTCCAGCTTTGTTCATTTGCCTGGTCACCTCAAATATGTTCAGAGTACAGCCACAGGAAGAAAGCAGCTAATGGCTGAGCACCCAAACACAAATAGAGGGTCTCATCAATAGAAGTGCACGGGTGGCTTTGAGAGGGAAGACAGAAAG